AGGCAAAAATGGTTTCATACTCAGGCCAATCTTACGAAATAAAAATCTCTCCTCGTCGCTAATGGTTTCTAAATCAGTAGGGAGCTCTGCTGGTTTCAGAGCCTTCTGCACTTTTTCCAAAGCCTTCTCAGCCTTTTTGATCTTCCCCTTTGCCTAAAATTGACCAGAATAAATGGAACATCAGAAAGTGCAAAAAACAAGTTTGTGTTCCATAGTAGACTGCTTATCTAGTACTTACTAGAAGGATGGTGCATGCTTTAAAATTTATTTTATTTTATTTTTAATATTTACTTTTTATTGGGTAAACTTATTCTTACTTTTTCTTTTATTCTATTTATTCTTACGTTTTCTCTCACTATCCCACTTCCTATACTATTTCTATTAGTGCCAACTCTCAGAAGTGCATGTAGTTCTCTTCAAGCTTACTGAATTATGTAATTTTGTTTTATATTCTTATGCTATTTCTTCTCCCTCTATCCTATTTATTCCTACTTTTGATCCCACTAACCCACTTTCCATGCTATTTATGTGGGTTTGTTTTATGTAATTATCCATTTAATTAGCAGTAATTTTACATATTTATCCTTTTAGTTTGTATTTAATTTCACATATTTTCCCTCACTTAATAGAAAAATGGGCGCGACACTGCTTCACCAAATTGTGATATTGCCCCTATTCTTTCCTTAACAAGTGTATTGATACTTACAAGAGCAAGCTTCTTCTCAAGATATCTGACCAGTGAAGCATGTCTAGACACAGCTGCATCTCTCTTCATTTTCTCTATATCTTGGCTGCTAGGTTGGTTTCCCCACTGTGAGGTCGCTGCCATGGTCTCAGCAAGCGTTCCCGCAACAAGTAGGCCATTATTGGCTTTCGTATTTGAATGAATCAAGGTCGATGCCTTCCACCGTGCTTGGTCTTCCTCATCTTGTTGCAATGCTGCTAGTTTCTGAGCTTCAGCCAATGTCTTTGTCACAGCAGGAGGCAAAAAGTCATTACCCCTATAAAACACAATATAATCCTTGTTCCTCGACAACAGTGTTCCACCTGTCAATATCTGCATAAAAGAGATGAAATTGGTTGTAAACAACAAATTAATTAAGTTGACCAAATTTTTTCAGAATCTAAGTGTTGTTGAAGACAATAGTATCAGGCAGGTTAGCATTTACTTGCAAATATTTCATTAATCTACAGAAACAAAGAATAACTTTCTACTAATTTTTATGTGAATAATCAAACCAAACCAAACTTTAAGTCCCATCAAATGGGTGTCGGTTGTATAAATCCTTCTTCTCCACTCAACTCTATCCAAGGTTATTTCGTTAGTCAAATTAAGGAGATTCATATCTATATTTACAACATTAGTCAACGTCAATCTAAGTCTACTCCTTCCCCTAACATTACTATCTATTGTTACTGTATCGCATCTCTTCACTACTGTGTCTGTTGGTTTCCGTTGTATATGACCAAACCATCTCAATCTATTATCTCTCAATTTATCTTCTATCGATACTACTCCTACCCATACTCATTCCTAACTCTATCTTTTTTAGTTTTGCCACACATCCACCTTAAAATCCTCATCTCAGCAACATTCATCTTATCTATGTGAATATAAATGAAAATACATATGCATGCATGGACATATTTGTGACTTTGGAACTAGACAACTATATAAATTTTAACAATAAATCAACATTCACTTTGCCACCCACAGAAAATTCCAACTCAAGGCATTTAGAAGTCGAACTTCATTAAGTATAATAAATTCATAAATATAACTAAATCCCAAATAAAAAGATAAATCACCACAATTGGACAACACTAGTGCTACATTTGGTTCACTAGAATGAAATGGAATGGAATGATCATTCCATCATAATGTTAAAGTTTGGTTCACTAATAAACGATGAAAATTGTAATACAAATGCAATCATCATTCACCATAGTAAGGGAATAGTTATTTCATAAGAAGGCTAAGGAATGATCATTTTATTCCATTTTGTTTCATTCCAGTGAACCAAAGACTACACAAAGAAGTAGAGTTACAGTACCTCCCCAACCTCTCTAGTGTCCTATGCCAATGATAAATAATGTTAGCAAGCATGTAACTTGTGAGAGAATACGATAATGATAAATCTTTCTCAAGAAAACTACAAAACACTTAAAATAAGAGTAAAAAGAATGTTTGATCTTAACTCTGTGCCAAACATTTTCTCTTTCACAATTATTTATGAATTCATAAATAACAATATTTGATATATTGCACCTTGAGTTCTTCTGCCATCCTTTCGTTACAAGTATTTAGTACACCACGTTTGATGGCTATCTTGGCAATGGCACTTCTTTCCCATAGCTTTACCATAGCCATAGCCAGACCTTGCAGTTCTCTGCTTCTTCCTATATCAATTAATGGACAACAAAATCCATAAGAAAACACAAGAATGTGAATAAGAAAACCATAGTACTATTGTTGACATACCAAGGGCAAAATGCGGAGGCATTGTTCTTGCAGTTCTCCGATAAAACGTCATATCTTTATCTCTTAAACCATGTCTTGTTCCATAAGGAAGTAGCCTGAACGGGCGTTTGTATCCAGGAACCACAGAAGGAAGCAAGTCAGCATCAACCGGCAATGGTTCACGGCCTGACCAATCTTTAAATCGTGGACCTAACTTATCTAATAGATGGTTGAGCTCACTTAAATCCATTATTTCTTCTTCAGATAAATCCTTCAAATATCTTGTAGAATTGGAAACCAATGATTCTGTTGTTCTAACAGAGTCCTTCAATCCAATTCTCGGAGAAAGATCACCCACTATATCTTTTGAAATTTGCAAACTCTTTGTATTAACTTGATTGTGTTTGGTATATGATTGAACACAAGGAAGCTTATAGGTCATTCCCCTGTATAACACAACTGAACTTCCCGATCTCCATATTACCAAGCCTCCAGTTCTACTCTGGTAGAGAACAACATATAACACAAATAAGAACTAGCATACCTAATTCTCCAAATTCATGGTGAAGAAACTACAAAATGAAAAAATCTAAGTGTGGTATCAAACAAGAGAGTGAAATATTGCAGCAAATTACATCAGTATACTTGAATCTCTTATTAGTCATTAAAATAAGGTCCAATTACACTATTAATTAAGCCACTTGAAGTTGCATTACTTTATTTCATAGTCATAGTCATGGAAACAAATGTACCAATACTGACCTCTAGAGTTTCATGAATCCTTTTCATGTTAAGTGTAGGAAGCCCTTCAAACTTTAATTTCACCACTTCATCTTCCTTCCACTTGTCGTGGATGGAGTCCACCAATGCCTGTGTAACACCGGCAGCTCCAACTTTGATCCTCTCTACCATCCTCAAAGCCACATTCCTAAGCCTCTTCAATTCGTTTTCTGGTATTAATTTCTCCGGCAGGATTGTGTTTCTCTTCCTCAACCTATCACCATCTACAGATCCCAAATCAGTCTTTCTCTCCCAAGGTAACCTCATTGAATCAATCTTACCACTAGAACCGTCAAAACTATGACCTTCCTGATCAAAACTGAATGACTTCCCATCAAAAGAGACCCTTTTGATGTCCTCAACCGGTAATGCCACCTTCTTCTCGGTTAACTCAATTGGGGTGTCATTAGTGTCAACAACTCCTCTACAATTAAATTTGCCATCAAAATTAACTTGAGTTTCCAAATTCTTTGATTCTCGAACAACATTACTCGAAACATTGTCTTCGCAGTGTTTGTGAAACTCATCAATCGTTTTGTCGTTTTCACAACTGTCTTGTAAATTTTTGGAAACAGAACCAAACTGGGATTTGTTGGGTTTGCTTCCATGAATCCAAGGAGCTGGAACTACATGATTAGTGGGAACAAAACTCAGGTCACTCACTGAAGGGTCCTTATCAGGTTCTGACTCAATTACAGTAACCCCAAACGACTGATGGCTCTGACCTTCTTCATCGTCTTCAATTGGTTCGCTCTGTTTCTGTTCTTGTTCTTGCCATGGAAGTTTCTCTCTCAAGGACGGGGTTTTCATAGACCATTTGTCGCGAATTTGATCAAAGAAACTTGGTCTGGGCTTTCTCTTCCTCTTTGTGGAGTTGTCTTGTGGGGTGTCAAGTTGAATGGTCTGTTGAGAACAAGACACTCTGAACTTCAGAGATCTGAAACTATTTGAAGATTGGGTTTGTGGGTGAAATAGGAGAAAGCTTAGAGACGGTGAAGAATGGCAACTGGAACTTGGGAAGTAATAATTCAAAGAAAATTGTGTGAGTGCCATAACGACAATGATGTTTAGACACAGGGCTTTGTATGTATACTAGTTGAAATAGTTGGTTTTAAAGACTTGACAGATTCTTTGTCCACTCTAGTTCCCATTGATTTGGAATGCAGTGAACCAACATCTCCAATCTCCATTCAACTAAACAGCATATGAACTCTGTAAGATACTACAATATTAATAGGATATCACAAGACTAAAATCAATCTGAGATCATCAAAACAATTTACAGAACAATCAACGATTATTTTCAATGATCCAAGAAGCTCATAAGTGATCCAAATTTTAATCAGCGTCAGGAATGCAAATTGAAAAACTAATGCAAATGATTGCAACGAAAGCAGCAGGTTCACCTTGTTCACTAGACAACAAAGCTACAAGTCAATTCATTGGATTGCTAAAAATCAGTGTTGTTAGCATCTCACAATTCGTGATATGTATCTTATACTTTAATATGTTCAGGGGAAAATAGATACAGATTACCAATTTGTATCTTATGTTATATGTATATTGCTATACATATATGGAGTGTATCTTTTCATTTTGTATAACTTTTTGTAAATATCTATTTGACTGGTATTATATCTACTCTGGTAGAGAACAACATATAACACAAATAAGAACTAGCAGACCTAATTCTCCAAATTCATGGTGAAGAAACTACAAAATGAAAAAAATCTAAGTGTGGTATCAAACAAGAGAGTGAAATATTGCAGCAAATTACATCAGTATACTTGAATCTCTGATTAGTCATTAAAATAAGGTCCAATTACACTATTAATTAAGCCACTTGAAGTTTCATTACTTTATTTCATAGTCATAGTTATGGAAACAAATGTGCCAATACTGACCTCTAGAGTTTCATGAATCCTTTTCATGTTAAGTGTAGGAAGCCCTTCAAACTTTAATTTCACCACTTCATCTTCCTTCCACTTGTCGTGGATGGAGTCCACCAATGCCTTTGTAACACCGGCAGCTCCAACTTTGATCCTCTCTGCCATCCTCAAAGCCACATTCCTAAGCCTCTTCAATTCGTTTTCTGGTATTAATTTCTCCGGCAGGATTGTGTTTCTCTTCCTCAACCTATCACCATCTACAGATCCCAAATCACTCTCTCTCTCCCACGGTAAACCTCATTGAATCAATCTTACCCCTAGAACCGTCAAAACTAGGACCTTCCTGATCAAAACTGAATGACTTCCTATCAAAAGAGACCCTTTTGATGTCCTCAACCGGTAATGCCACCTTCTTCTCGGTTAACTCAATTGGGGTGTCATTAGTGTCAACAACTCCTCTATAATTAAATTTGCCATCAAAATTAACTTGAGTTTCCAAATTCTTTGATTCTCGAACAACATTACTTGAAACATTGTCTTCGCAGTGTTTGTGAAACTCATCAATCGTTTTGTCGTTTTCACAACCGTCTTGTAAATTTTTGGAAACAGAACCAAACTGGGATTTGCTGGGTTTGCTTCCATGAATCCAAGGAGCTGGAACTACACGATTAGTGGGAACAAAACTCAGGTCACTCACTGAAGGGTCCTTATCAGGTTCTGACTCAATTACAGTAACCCCAAACGACTGATGGCTCTGACCTTCTTCGTCGTCTTCAATTGGTTCGCTCTGTTTCTGTTCTTGTTCTTGCCATGGAAGTTTCTCTCTCAAGGACGGGGTTTTCATAGACCATTTGTCGCGAATTTGATCAAAGAAACTTGGTCTGGGCTTTCTCTTCCTCTTTGTGGAGTTGTCTTGTGGGGTGTCAAGTTGAATGGTCTGTTGAGAACAAGACACTCTGAACTTCAGAGATCTGAAACTATTTGAAGATCGGGTTTGTGGGTGAAATAGGAGAAAGCTTAGAGACGGTGAAGAATGGCAACTGGAACTTGGGAAGTAATAATTCAAAGAAAATTGTGTGAGTGCCATAACGACAATGATGTTTAGACACAGGGCTTTGTATGTATACTAGTTGAAATAGTTGGTTTTAAAGACTTGACAGATTCTTTGTCCACTCTAGTTCCCATTGATTTGGAATGCAGTGAACCAACATCTCCAATCTCCATTCAACTCAACAGCATATGAACTCTGTAAGATACTACAATATTAATAGGATATCACAAGAGTAAAATCAATCTGAGATTATCAAAACAATCTACTAAACAATCAACGATTATTTTCAATGATCCAAGAAGCTCATAAGTGATCCAAATTTTAATCAGCGTCAGGAATGCAAATTGAAAAACTAATGCAAATGATTGCAACGAAAGCAACAGGTTCACATTGTTCACTAGACAACAAGGCTACAAGTCAATTCATTGGATTGCTAAAAATCAGTGTTGTTAGTATCTCACAATTCGCGATATGTATCTTATACTTTAATATGTTCAGGGGAAAATAGATACAGATTACCAATTTGTATCTTATGTTATATGTATATTACTATACACATATGGAGTGTATCTTTTCATTTTGTATAACTTTTTGTAAATATCTATTTGACTGGTATTATATATCTTATGTGCTAGTGATTTATACCAAGTTACATTCGATAATTTTTACAATTTTCTGCTATGGATAAATAAAATTGTAAATTAAAAGGTGAAATTTAGACAATATGAAAATACAATTAAGTAAAAGAACAATCAATGATTATTTTCACTAATCCACTAAGCTCGCAAGTGATATAGATTTAATCAGCATGAGGAATGATAATTGACAAACTTATACAAAAACTAGCAACAAAAGCAGCAATTTCACATTATTCAACGGACAACCAAGTCTATATACTGGATTACTACAAACATATATTTTTCCCCAAATAAACAAAAAGACAAAAAAATGTATGTTAGTTGTGTTTTTGTTTTCTTCGTTTTCATTTTTGTTTTTTTTTTTTTTTTAAAAAAAAACAATGACAGTTTGAAAAAACCATAGTTTTCATTTTTGTGCAAAAATAGTCTTCAAAAATTTGAAAACATATGTTGGTGTTTCTTAAAAGCGGTTATTTATCATAAAATTCCCCGGAAACTATTTTTAGAAACAATTTGCAAAACAAGTTTCTATTTTTCAAAAAATGAAAACAGAAAAAGAAAACACAACCAAAGAGACCCTACCTACCATATCCAAAAACCCAATGGCAAAAAAGTCATAACCACATTAACTGAGAGCACACTCTAACAATAATCACAACAAACTCATTCCACCAAATTGTGCAACAAAATTGGGCATCCAAAATATACAACAAGAAGATAATTAAGTAGAACAAGTAAAACAAAAATACAAACAATCACTGAGACACAAAACGAACCCTAACTTCAACTACAACTGAGCAAGTATGAAATTACTTTGGAATACTACAATTTCAACAATGAGAACATTGAGTCGTGTGACTAGATATATGCAAAATAAATTTCTACTGACATATGTGTCTATTCTATTATATAAAGCACACAACTCATAATAGATTTAGAGCTTTGTCACACTTTATTTTTATTTTTTTTTCCTTTCAAGAATACCCATATTGTTAACTATTAAATAATAGCTAACAGTTTTCAAACTCACCTCAGCTTTGTCATTCATTAAATTGTCACAAAATTTAGATGTAAAATTGCAAACGCAGTGCATTTACACTCAACATACAAATGTATAAATAAATATAAACTATATACATGGAGTTGAAAGAAACCTGTACTCATGGAACGAAAGGACCATGAGTTGGGTAGCACTACGGGTGTGCACGAGGCAGTTCAATGCAGTTTATAGATAAAAACACAACCAAACCATGGATGGAGGATTGGCTAATTTTCCAATCACAGCCGACTTGTGGTTCACAAAAACCCGTCGGTTCAGTCAAAAAAATCTCGGTGGCTTCAACCTGGTTGGCAGTCCGGTTCCTTTCTAAATGGACCTTTTTCATGAACACAAAAATAAATAAATAATAAAAAGAAAAAAAATACTATTCAAATAACTTAAACTATTCAGATGTTTCCCACACATCAATCTTCATAATATGGATGTTCCAGAGGATAAACCATTTTCTCTATTAACTAAAATCAAAGCAGGCACTTACCCACAAAAAATAATAATAATAATCAAAGCACAATCCTCAAAATATAATCAATTTCTTGGTTTGAAGATTCACAACCTAGTTAACTTTTTTTTTAAAAAAAATAAAAGTGATGGGACAATTAGCAGGGGAAGAGAGTGGAGGGGATGTGTGTGTATAATTTTCCGATGTTTAGAGAGATTACCTGAGAGCTGAGAGGAGATCGTTGCAATTGTGACTGTGTGTAGGGGTGTGTGCGGTTTAGGGTAAAATAGAAACCGCACAGCAGGTGGCATATTGACAAAATTTTCATTAGAAATTGCCATTTTTCTTATCAAAAACCTGCGGTTCAGTTGCCAAATAATGGCGGTTTTGACTTAGCTGTTTGGGTGGATTGGCGGTTTATAAAAAACATAATTCAAATTACAAAACTTGAATCAAAGATTAAATCTAATTTAATAAATTATGAGAGGATTTTCACCAACAAAGCAATCATCACTTGTACTTCCCTCATCCATTATCTATTACAAAATACAAATTTACAATGATGATAAGTAAAAATATTTTAAATATTTCCAACAGAGAAAAGTGTTGTTGAATGATATAGTCTGATACAAGAAAATGATGGAAAAAAAAAGTCCAGAAATTCATAGAGGAGGAGGAAAATTTGTATGCTTCCTTCCTGCCATTCCTAAACCATTTGTGAAACAAATTCCTTGCCAAACTATTTTTTTTTTTTCTCAGTAAATTGAGCCTCTCTGTTTCACTGATCTTGACACATAAATATTCAATCAGATTCTAACTGTGAAACCCTTTTCCTTTTGCTCATTTTTTTTCTTGTGAAAATTTTAAATGGAAGAAGGGGCTGATTTTTTGGATGGAAGAGAGCAGAGAGAGAGACAGAATAGAGAGAGAGAGAGAGAGAGAGCAAAGAGAGAACCAGTACCAAATCGGGAAGAAGATGCGGCGGTGAGCGGAGAAGCAGTGCCGGAGACGCTAACGGCGGCGCCAATCGGCAAGGTGAGGAGGACGATGAAGAGGGGAATGCGATGACATGGTATGCAAGGCATATCTTTTCTTTTTTTAGAATTTTTTTTTTTAAAAAACAATTAGTTAAATTATTTATATTTTTAAATATATAAAATATTTAAAATAATTGTTAAATTGAAGAGAAAAAGGTAATAATTTTAGTTATATCACTCCATAAAAGAGTTACTTAAATTAATTCATATACTAATTTTAAATAATTATTTATGCATATTTTAATAATTTTAACTCTATCGTGTTATGGATTTTTTTTAAGGTCTATAGTATTAAGATTTTATAATATAAAGGACATCTAATATTTTCATAATGTCTAAGATCCCTCAACATCAATCTAGAGAAAATTCAATTCCAGAGAAATTCTCTTCCCAGAGAAATTCTGGATCCATCCCAGAGAAATTTTGTTTTCAGAGAAATTTTGGATCCATCCCACAGAAACTCTAATTTTCTTAGAAGCCAAACAATCCATTGAAAGAAAATTAAAGACATAACTGGGTAATAGCAAGAGGGTAAGTGGGAGTCAGTTGGATAATCACAATATCTTGAGAGCTCTTATTTCATGGAAATCCTTTAAAACTGATCCTTTAGAAGTTGAGAACAAAGCCCTTGTTGCAGTGAAAGAAAATTCTAGAACTCAAACCTAGAGAAAATCCCCCTCAAACCCAGAGAAATTCACTCAAACTCAGAAAAAATCCCACTTTAACTTAGAGAAATTCACTCAAACCCAGAGAAAATCCCCTTCCAACCCAGAGAAATTCACTCAAACTAAAGAAATTACCCATTTCCAACCCAGAGAAATTCCCCCTCACAATCTTTTCTTGTTGAAAATCATAAACCTCAGGCAAAATGTGTTCCATGGTTTACATATTGGCTAGGGTGTTACAAGATCTGTCAACAGTACCTTGGGAATTTTGAAGAAAAATGAACATTGATTCAATAATCTTCAGAAATTGAAAGAACTATACAAGATCTCGAACCAATTGATAGAGGAAGATGAAGATTAAGAATGAAGATATATATATAAAGAGAGAGAGAGAGAGAGAGAGAGAGAGAGAGAGAGAGAGAGAGAGAGAGATGATGATGATAATGATGATGGTCAAAGATATAAGAATGTTTTCTCTCTCTCTCTCTCTCTCTCTCGTTTATTTGGAATTTCGGCAGTAGAGAAAGCACAAGCACAAAGCTTCGAATTCATCATCTGATTTGTCGTTAGGGTTCATTCTCTGTGCTTCAGAACTATTTGTTGTTCTCCGAAGCTCAACCTGGTTCGATCAAATTCACATATGAGAGAGTGAGACTAATATGAAAAGTTTCAGCTTAGTTCTCGTCATGGGCATTGTAATCAAATTTGAAGTTAGAACTCTGATCAAACTCTATTTTATCTCCTCATAGATCCATCTCAATCTGTTTCTCTGATAAGCACATCATCTCTATTCATTACATGTTAGGGTTGGAGTTTGTGATCTCGAAGGTGGACGATTTGATGAACTGAGCATGCCGAGAGAGTTTAGAGTGAGAGAGAAAAAAAAATGAGGTTTGATTTTAGAGAGACAAATTTCTCTGTGATATATGGATGTGGGAGTTGAGGGACTTTAGACATCATAAAATAATATTGTGCATCTCGTTCATTAATAAAAATGAGAGAGGGACCTTAGACTAATTTTTCCTAAAATTAATTGGTAAAATATGTTTAGTATGTATAATTCTATTAAATTTTGTTTATGGTTAATTTAGATTACGTCGAAATCTTTTAAATATTAAATTTTAGAAAGAATTTTGGTAAGGGTATATTGATTTGGAATTTTAATAAAAAAGGAAAAAAAAGGAAGATGCGTTACATAGGAGAGAGAAAAAAAAGTTAAAGGTAAGCAGTATTTTTTATTTTTATTTTGATAATCTTAGTCTTATCGTTTTATAAAAATCTTATTTAAATCAACAAATATAATAATTTTAAGTAAATTATTTGTGTATATTTTAATAATTTTAACTCTATCATTTAGTGGTGGGAATTTACAACCTGACAAGATAACACGATTCGAATTGTACACGAAATTAGCTGCCTAAGATTGACCATTTACTGACACAAACACGTATATGACATGATTCGATAACACAAATATTAAACAGGTCAAGTTGGTATCAAATTTGTATAACGTGAAATTGACACAGATAACTCATATAATGAAGAATTAGTTACACATTTTAGTATTATTTCCACTAAAGTGTATCATGACATTTTTTTAAATCTCTTACGTAATTATATCAAATTTATTAAAAAGTATGTAAAATATGATTTTAAGTTTAATATAGATTTTGTTTTTCCTTTTAATTGAACTTAATGTATTTTTTTGTCTTTTATTTGAGTTAATCTAGTAAAAAAATATAATAATAAAATATAATTTATATAAATTAAGAAAATAAAATAAAGTTAAAATCAAATATTTTTTTATAAATAATTTAATTTAATATTTCATTAAATTTAACTTGTGAAGGAATTTTCAAAAAAAATTCATGCATTTGATATTTTTAGTTAATAGTGAAATTTTTTTACATGACACATTGACATAACACAAATAGGATACGGATCGAAAATGACACAATACGATAACATGAAATAATAAACTGGTCGTGTTAGTGTTGAGGTAATTTTGACACGAACACGACCCAACGCCCACCCCTTCGTACTATAAAATATAAATTAAATAAAAATATATAATAATTTTAAATTATATTAAATTGTGACACAAAAAATAAGCATTAATTTGATAATTTTAACCTTTCATGCTACAAAAATGTAACTTAAATAAATATATATAATAAATTTATGTGATATTAAATTATAACTTGATATTAGAAATAATTGTTATAAAATTAAAAGTGATTCTAACTATTTAAGAAATTCAACACAATTAATATTATAAATAAGATAGACATAAAAATAAGAAATAATTTTAATATTTTATTTTAAAAAAATGAAAAAAAAAGTATAATAAAATTAATTGGTAAAGTATTTTTTAGTATGTATAATTCTATTACGTTTTGTTTATGAGTAATTTAGATTAAGTAGAAGTCTTTTAAATACTAAATTTTAAAAATAATTTTGGTAAAATGATATATTGATGTGGCATTTTAATAAGAATAAAATAAAAAAAAGGGATGTGCCACATAGGAGAGAGAAAAATTGAGAGCAAATACTACTTTTAGTAATATACTAGTAGGTGACCCGTGCAATGTACGTGAATTTATTTTTAAAATGAAAAGTTAGTTTTGAGTCGCAATAGTTTGTGTAGAAAATGTGAATGAAATATAATTATGTTTTACTTACGTTTCATACACATTTTTTCTTTTTCTTTATAAATCTCTTCCCAAATCGATGAATCGAATACAACCTTTTTAGATAAGATTTCTTATGAATGAAGAAGGTGGTTTGCTTTCTTAGTTGAATAGGAAATTTATTATTGAATGTGTGCTTTCTTTATTGAATAAAATTCTTTATTGAATAAAAAATTTCTTTGTCTACTCAATTTTTTTTTTTTTTTGTAGAAAGTATTATGAATTGAAAGTCGAATAGGAAAAGATTTACAAATTCGTTTGTCAAAAACAATGGTTGTTTATAATAGAATATAATTTAATAAGTTTCATGAAAAGGTATTAATGTAGTAATACAAAGCAAAATTAAATGTGTACCTTGAGCATTTAATTAAAAATGTATTTTTTTTCCCCCATTTTAATGAAATAGGCAATGTAAAAGTTATATTCTAATGCATTGTTTGCATATAAAATGTGTATATATTGTAAGGTAGATGCAACAGTGTTGGACTCAAGAACATCTGGATTCCAAAAAACTTAAAAAAACATGAGATTTGCAAAACTTATATGAAGCACTAATTGAACCAAAACCTTTAGTATCTATAAAATAATTAAATTCTAAACATTCGATCCATGATCTTTTGAAAAAGTAAAAGAGCATTTCGTTTAGGGTTGTGTTAAACTAAAGTAAACTACCTAATTTGAATGGATTATGAGACTCTGCATATAATTGCACATTTGAGCTTCGAATTCAATCAAGGTAATGGCAGTGTGATATCATCATCTTTGTCCTTTGTATTTGAAACTTTAAGTCGTTTTTTTGTTGGAGTACACTATGGCCTTCAC